TAATATGCATTGCTGTTGCTGAAGGACTTTAAATCCCGAAGAAGGGATTTACATTAGATTGTATCAATAGCAATACGAACAATTTAAGATAGCATGCGATACTTGATTTACATTTTAATGGAGTAATAAATTGTATTGTGGACCTGCTAACTTATTGTATCGTGAACCTGCTGACATATTGATGTGTTATGGACTTGCTGACTTATTGCTGTGTTCTAGACATGCCGATTTATTGTTGTTTTATAAACCTGCTGACTTGTTGGTGTGTTATGGACCTGCTGACTTGTTGTATTGTAGACCGGCTGAAATATTGTTGTGTTATGGACCTGCTGACTTATTGTATTATGGACCTGCTGACTTATTGTATTGTAGACCTGCTGATTTATTGTTATGCTATAGACCTGTTGACTTATTGTTGTGTTCTCGACCTGCTGACAAATTGTATTGTGGACCTGCTGACTTATTGTATTGTGAACCTGTTGACTTATTGCTGTGTTATAGACCTGCTTACTTATTGTATTGTGGACCTGCTGACTAATTGTTGTGTTATGGACCTGCTAACTTACTGTAGTGTGGACCTGTTGACTTATTGTATACCTGCTGACTTACTGTAGTGTGGACCTGCTGACTCATTGTTGTGTTATGGACCTGCTAACTTACTGTAGTGTGGAACTGTTGACTTATTGTATACCTGCTGACTAATTGTTGTGTTATGGACCTGGGAATTAGCACTAGTCATATAATTACGCTTTTTATCATAAGAATTCCGTCTTTGCGTATTGCAGAGTTATCTTCTCTTGTGAGCAGGGATTGATTGTTACGTCATTGGTTTGTATGAGAAAATAACGTCGTTTTCTCAAAAATTTATGACGTTACTCTCACAAACAAATGACGAAACAATCAATACCTGCTCCCAGGAGCAGATAACTCTGCAATACGCAAAGAAGGAATACGTATTATGCAGTGCCATAAAGATATCACATAACATGTGTCATATCATTCCGGAAATGACGTCACAATCGAATAGGAACAATCAATGTGACGTCACGTCATTGTGAAGCCGACGCAATTTTCATCGTTTCAGAGGCGGTCAGGTGCAAAATATTTGTTTCAGATCACAATTATACAGTTTACTTTGTATTATATGATAAAACGAATCTGTCATTCGTTTCCCTTCTTATTAGATTTATGATGCTCTCTTTGGATTTTTCATATTTGCTCCCCAGAGGCTCGCAACATGAAAAATCGAAAACTTGTATCATAAATCTTATACGAAGGGAAACTTATTACAGGTCCTCTATATTTAGTTCTTTTACTCTCCTTGTGTCAGTTCGCGAAGCTCTTGGAGCAGCGAAGACAGTCTGTCACATTCAGATCGATGACGTCACAATAATTGTCACTAGACCGTAAGGTATTGTAGTCTTTAAACACATGCTGCATAGCGGATTTATTGCAATGGTGGAATGCATACGTTATGTTAATAAATGGGAAATGAATACATGATATAAACCTGACGTTAACAATTGGATGATGCAATGTATTGTAGACATACATTTTTTGTTCTGTATAACATGAAATATTCGTAGATATCTTCATTCGTTGTTTGAAGCCATTAATATCGTTTCGTGGTACAAACTGTCGTGGATACCCCCATATAAAACAAAGAGTAATCAAGTTTATCAATTGAATTCGCTGTAGTTATTTTCGTGGTTTCGTAGCTTCCACAAAAACCACGAATGTGTATATACAACAAACATTTCATGTTATACAGTAAGTATAATTGGTCAGTTTAATTATACCCTCCGCCATAGACGTTTGCTAGGTAAGTAGAAATCGCCCTTTTTGTCCGTCCGTCTGTCCGTTCTGTCTGTCCATGATCCTTGTAAGAAAAAATCCTTGAGTGTTTTAATTTCTGCTCAAGAAACCTTGTTAGAGCTGTAATAGTATTAGGAATAAGTCTGACAGAGTCGTCGCCCTTGTATACATATGAGTTTATGCACGCATTATGGGTAATAAAGGAGAGTTCAAGGCGCCATCTTGTTGAATCAATGTTTAGTAACATGGTGTCAGAGAAAATCGGACCATGGCGCGCCTGCAGCCCCCTGCCGTCTTACAACTTACTGGTAACTTAGCTGAGAATTGGGGGAGGTTCAAACAGACGTGTAACATATACGCTGTCGCAAGCGGTATTATCGCAAAAGGTGCAAACGTACAAGGTATGACTTTATTACACGTACTTGGCCCAGAAGCTATTGAGGTATACACAACATTCGCATTGGGTGAAGGTGAAGATACATGTAAGACTAAACCTGATGTAATTAAGGTGAAGTTCGAAGAATATTGCAACCCCAGAAAGAATATAACATATGAAAGACATATTTTTAATATGAGAAATCAAAGGGATTGAAACATTTGATGCGTTCGTCACAGATCTTCGACAGAAGGCCAGTACTTGTGAGTACGACACGTTGAAAGAATCGTTGATAAAATACAAAATTGTTTGTGGTATCAAAAGCGATGCGGTTAGGGCTAGAATACTCAGAGAAAGTGAGCTAACTCTACAAGGAGATACTGACATATGCAGAGCAGCTGAATCGAGCACTGCACACATAGAGTCAATGGGTGATGAGAAAAATGTGCATATAGTGAAACAGAGACGAAATTGGACAAAACAAAAGAATGCGCAACCCACCGGTACTCCAAAATCAAAACCGAAAGTGAAAGTAGACTATGGGTATTGTGGAGAGTCTCATAACAAAGGAGCTAAGAACTGTCCCCCACATGGTAAAACATGTGTGAAGTGCAATAAACAAAATCACTATGCAGCAATGTGCAAATCTACACCTTGAGCAAAATCAAAACCTCGCAAAGCAAAAGAAAGTACACCAGGTTGAAACAGAAACAGTGGATACAGATGATTTCTTTTTTCTGGAGTAGACATCGGAAAACGAGGAACAGGAGTAGAGAGTACCCTCGAAGGTAAACAATACAAAACAGGCTGTGAGATTAAAAATTGACACAGGTGCTCAGTGTAATGTCATCAGCGCGAATTTATGTAAGCAGTCAGGAATTAACATTACAAAACTTAAAAACAGTCGGAGTAAATTAGTATCTTACTCAGGTCATGAAGTCAAAACATGTGGAAAACTAGAAGCAAGTGTGCTGTAAAAGGGCAATACTTTGTACTTCTATTCCATGTGGTTGACAGTGGTGTTGTGCCAGTATTGGGTTTGAAAACTAGCTTAGAAATGAACCTAGTGAAACGCTTGTATGCCGTGAACAAAGATCAAAATACAGGGAGTGCTGCAGAGGATGTAGTCAAGGAATTTGATCATCTATTCCATGGCATTGGCTGCCTGCCTGGCGAACAGGAAATAAAGGCGGACACCAAAGTCACTTCAGTTGAAGCACCGCCGCGTCGAATACCACAGATGCTCAAAGACAAGGTTAAGACCGAACTTGAACATGGAGACCATGGGTATAATCACAAAAGTGGAAAAACCTACAAAGTGGGTTAACCCCATTGTCGTTGTACGGAAACCTAATGGAATCGTAAGGGTATGCTTGGACCAAAGAGAAGCAATATTGCGAGAACACCACCAATTGAAAACGGTAGAGAAAGTGGCAGCGGGATTAAAAATACCAAGATATTCACAACACTTGACGCTGTATCTGGGTTTTACCAAGTGAGGCTGACCGAGAAAAATTCATGGTTGACTACTTTCAATACACCTTTGGTTCAACCTCCACTAGCTAAAGTTTGTGGAAAACATCAACAAATACAAACGTCAACAGGGCAGAATTTTATTCACTTGGTTATCCCAACCACAATTAACATAAACAATAATTATTTCTTTTCAAACAATGAAGTTAACAAAAATCATGAAAAAATATCCCCAACCCAATCAGTTCTTGTATTTAGGAAAAAAATATTTAAGGGGGTCGTTATTGTTGTAATATTAAAAAAATAAAATAATTAAAGTCTTCGACTCACACAAAAAGTCTCCTTCCCTTGCAATTTCTGGACATTGATGCCTTAACACAATGACATGCCAAACTCTCTTGCCGTTATCAATTTTTGCGAAAAATCTGTTTCTATGTATCTAAACACAGCATCGCTTGCCCAATAACCAATGGATTTGATGGTGTCAATTGGGACCCCTAACTTGGTAAGCCAAGTGGCCCCTCCTCTACGAAAAGAGTGGCCTCAAATATTCGAGCCTTCCTCCCCTATTTGACATAGGCAGTTGCGCAATTTATCACAAAAACACTTGTAGCTGAGAGCTGAACCACCGTTAACTAGGAGGAGAGGTCCTAGAGGATTTGCTGCCTCTGTAATAAGCAACAGACATTTGAGCGCTGTAGCAGGACATAGATCATTCCCCGTTCTGGGCAGTAGGATTTCAACACGTTTTTCCCTGAACTGTATAGTCTTGGTTCGGCGTAAACACAACAAATATCCCCAGGGATAAGGGAGAAGATCTATGCGACGAACATCTCGGTCTCCATCAAATGCGCCAGTGGTCGTAATGTTCCCAGGGCGCAGGAGCCCATAAAACGCAATTAAGCATGCACACCAAAACGTAATGTCCGACAAATTGGTAAAGTTCAAGGTCGACTTGATTTTATGAAGCTGCTGAGGTGTGATTGCCCCCACTGGTGACTGGGCTGTACCCAGCTCGCGCTTAATACCTTGGAGTAGGTGTTTGAGTTGAAAGTCCTTGTTCACAGGGTCCCCAAAACCCGACAGTCTGTGCATGTGAACCACAATATTGAGATATTGTTGGATAGTGTTGAACCGAAATCCTCGAACCTTAGCTAGGTAAGTGACGTATAGTTGAAGGACTTTCGATGCTGCTGGGACAGATGTACAGTTAATACTTCCGCAAAAAGTTAGTAGCACTGCATATGTGTACGGTAAGTGGATGCTGTAGTACTAGCCCATGCCTTGTCTTTGTATTTTATTGCAGCTCTCTCCAGTTCCTCCACCATTGAACCACCTACAGCATATAAACNCATAGTTGAAGGACTTTCAATGCTGTTGGGACAGATGTACAGTTAATACTTCCGCAAAAAGTTAAGTAGCACTGCATATGTGTACGGTAAGTGGATGCTGTAGTACTAGCCCATGCCTTGTCTTTGTATTTCATTGCAGCTCTCTCCAGTTCCTCCACCATTGAACCACCTACAGCATATAAACAATAGAGACATATGTTGAGACAGTTCATGTACACAAAAGTCACTGTAGGCAAGGGAAGGAAGCAACGAGTACAATAACGATAATTTGTCCCTCTCGTGTAGTCGAGAACACGTGTCCGCAACTCGGTTCCACTCTCCTGGATAATAAATGGCTTTGAGAGCGATATTGTTTATAGCACAAATCCAAAACAAATGACGTATCAGATGCATGACTAGACTGTTCCTCGAAGTGCCTTTGTTTATCCAAGACACTGCAGACTTATTGTCACTGTAGATCACGACGCGCTTATCACACAAAACCTTGTCCCAGCGGCAAATAGCAAAAAATATTGCACAAAACTCTTTCACGTTTATATGTTCGTTAGCCAAGGGAGGTAAATCCAATTTCCAATTCACATAGAAATAATCACCGTTAAAATAACCTCCCCCGCCGTCCGACGACGCGTCTGTTTGTAATGATGTGACAGGTTTTGGGTCATGAATCGTGCAGCTGCCATTAAAAACGGAGATGAATGAAATCCACCACCCTATGTCCGCGAAAAAATCCGGTGTCAAAAGTATCTTATGAGAATTGGCACAAAGTTTGTCTTTCATATCAATTACTCTCCTCAGGAATGTGCGGCCCCCACTTATTACTTGTGACGCCCAGTTTAATTTACCTATTAATACTTCAAGCTGCTTGCGACTTGCCCTTTTTCGTACCGAAAACTCCCTTAGCACGTCTGAGAAACTCTGAAGCTTGTCATTAGGCAAAGAAAAAGTCATCGTTATTGTATTGACCATTATGCCTAGAAAAATGATCTGTCTTACCGGACCTTCTACTTTGGACCAGTTAATCGCAAAACCCAGCTGTCGCAGCAGCTGTAACAATCTACACATAGCATTGTAACATTCATTATAAGTATTGCCAAACACTAAAAAATCATCCAAGTAGGCAATTGCTGTGAAACCATATTTACATTTTGATATTCTACATACAGCACTACTGAGTTTTTGAAAAATCTGTGGACTTTTGGATGCCCCAAAAGGCAATTTTGTATCATACATATATGTTGGATTGTCATTTCCATCGAAATGATATTTCAAACCTGTTGCTTTGTAATTCAATGGGTGGATATTTACTGATCTGTAAGCCGACGCTAAATCCACTTTGGCTAAATAGCACCCAGGTGAAATATGTTTGGCTGCCTCCCGGCCGGAGGTCCATATAAGTACACGAACAGTCACTCTTGACATGACTATTTATAGATTTACCAGTAGGGCGACTCGCGTCATGTATTAGTCTGACCTTTGTTTTTGACTTTGGAATAGCCCCCAACGCACTTATTATCACTGGTTTTGTCTCAGTTATCACATAGTTACCGTTTGCTATTTCACTTTGTATCTGATCTTGGACCAGACCAGAAAACTGTTTACAAGAGGCATAGTTTTCTTCCTCCACGGGCACGATGTGTTTCTCTAGACCTTCATCGATAATGCGAAAACCGGTAGCCACGCCCTCTAAAATAAACTCCCTATCAAAGTCATCCGCAGGTAAGAGGGACTGCCAGGCTTCCAATTTCAACTTGTTGCTAGTATGTACATTATTTACAGTGGCCTCATGCTTGGGCTGATCATGATCTATCCCTTTTTTGTATGATGAATCGCACTGTGCTCCGCATAACACACCGAACAGACATGCGCAAGTTTACACGATTTATAATCACACACGTCATTGTTAAATTTCCTGCATATTTCTCGATTGTCCGGAGTAAACGGGCCACGTTTTCTTGGGGTCGACCGTTCCCGACCTTGTCCCTCTCGTTTTGAATTTACCGTCGTACCCTGAAGTACCTGAGCAGTCAGGTTGTTTGGCTTAGGTACAAGTTGAAAGTTCTGTATCGCGGTTTGTGGCGTTCCCCATCGAAAACCTTCACTATGTTGGGCCTCCCGATATTCCCGGTCATACAGCATAACACTGCCGCGCACATACTTGCTGAAGAGTCGATTTATCGTTTTTGTATAATCCAGGTAGTCACGGATACCACGAACATCCACCTCGTTTGCCTCGATCATTTCTTCTAAAATTCTGCTATTACCATAGCCCCATTGTTCAACGCTGATTTTGTAGTAATCTTTGTCCATTTCACGGTTTACTTTGACCCCTGTGGTGGTGAACGTGATGATTTCGTCCTCGTCTATCAATGTGGGATCGCGCCAAAGATAATTGTGTACAAGGCGGGGTTTAGACTTTTTTGTATTGTTCACATTCTGCAGCAGTGTCTGGAAATTTAAGTCAAGTAAATTGTTCATACCTGAAGTGCTGGGTCGTTCTCTCTCTGTTGATGACCCACCCTCCTGGCGATCACGTGGAGGGGCGGAGACGAAGGGGCGATTTTGTTCATAAATTTTCCGCCGACAATATTCGATCTCCTTGCAGAAAGCCCCTTTTTTTAATTCCGCTTTTAAACTATCGAGTTCCTTTTCGAGCTCGGCTTCTGGTTTGTCACTCATCGCTGATGGTGGTGGGCCTCCACAGGCACCATGCCGGCCATCATCACCCTGATGTTCGTCACTAGATTGAGAAGCATTTTCTTTCCGATGTACATTATCATCGGTCTCCTCGCTGTCACAATTTTGGAGAAATGTCATTAGTGAGCTTGATCGCTCTCTTAGATTGTACGCGTTCATCGCGATGTCGCTGGATTTTATATTTATATAAAGCACTGTGAGGCTGCTGCCATCTTGCTCTGCTAATGCTGTTAAAAGACCGGAACTAGCATGGGGAGCTAAGGGAGCTAACTCTAACTGCCTTGGCAAAGGCTAAAGTTGCGTACACCAAAATACAATTTACTAATAAATTTACACTTTTGGAAGGAACAAATTTGAAAGGTTACCGTTTGGAATTTCCTCCGCTCCGGAAGTCTTCCAGCGAATTATGTCACAGGTATTTGCAGACACACCATGCGACGTAATCGTTGATGATGTGCTTATCTGGGCAGAAGACGACCGAGAACATGCAGAAAAGTTGCGTAGTGTTCTAGAACGTGCAGATGAAGTCGGTTAATGTTTGAACAAGGACACGTGCAAAATCAGTAAACCGGAAGTCGAGTATGTCGGACCCACATACAGTGTTGACTGAGTGAAACCTACCAGTGAACGTGTATCAGCAATTTTAGCTATACCTGTACCAGAGAACAAGACAGAACTACAAAGGTTAATGGGTATGGTGAACTATTTTGCCCCACCTGTCGTCGAGGAACCGGCCATTTAGAGAGTTACTAGCAAATAATGTTAGTTGGCATTGGTCAGCGTCACAGGAGAACGCTTCCAGAGACTTGAAAGATACTATAACGAGTGCTCCAGTGCTGTAGTACTTTGACGTTAAAGTTGACGTCAGATTGTCAGTCGATGCGTCGCCATATGGTCTAGGTGCATGTATTTTGAAGAGTGGAAAACCTATCGCGTATGCTTCTCGTTCGTTTACCTCCGCTGAACGCAATTACGCACAAATAGAGAACAAAATTGGTATGGTAAAATTACCATACAAGTTGAAACCGACACAAGCCCCTTGAAAGTTTATTCAAGAAACCGTTGTCGAGCTCGCCGCCACTGTTGGAGGATGATGTTGAAAATACAACAATATGACATTGTGGTTGTCTAAAGGCCAGGGAAAGAAATGCACATAGCGGACACGTTCAGTCGATCCACAGGCTCAAAACTTGAATCACACGAGGAAGTGGAGGAATTTGAGGTTCATGTTGTATGCACTGTTCCGGTGAGCCAAAGCAAAACAGAACTGTTCCGGAAGGAGACCAACAATGATCAAGTACCGATTAAACTGAAAGAGGCAGTGTTGAATGGATGGCCTATCAATAAAACTGACGTAGATCCAGATCGCATACAGTATTGGAACTTTCGTGATGAAATAAGCATTGTTGACGGCTTATTGCTGAAAGGTGACCGTATCATTACACCGGCAAATCTCCGATCGGAGATGTTAAAAACCCTTCATTCTAGTCATCTGGGGCAGACCAAGTGTTTACAAAGAGCGAGATCAGTACTATTCTGACCAGGTATCACAAAACAAATAAAAGACCTTGTTACACAGTGTGAAATGTGTAATCCGTATCGTATTCGGCAACCGATAGAACCAATGATTCCACGTGAATCTCACGAACTGCATTGGCAAAAGGTAGCTTCAGACGATATGGTATTAGACGAATGCGGTACCTCGTCACAGTGGACTATTTCTCAAAGTTCATAGAGGTCAACTGATTGGTTGATAGGTAAGCAATGACGGTAATTGTAGTGCTAAAACAATATTTTTCGCGCTATGGAATTCCAGAAGAAGTTGTCAGCGATAACGGACCTGAATTTGCTAATCACAAATTTGAGACATTCGCACAAAAATACAACTTCAAGCACACAACGTCATCACCACGTTATCCACATAGCAATGGACTCGCTGAACGAGCCGTACAAACAGTTAAGAAACTCTTCAAAAAGGCGAAAGATGATCATAAAGATCCCACGCTAGTTCTCATGTACCTGACAAATACGCCGCTACCAGGCATTGAGTTATCGCCAGCTCAATTATTGTTTGGTAGGAGTACAAGAACTCTAATATCTACACCGATATCCACCCTCAATCAATGGATTTGACCGGAGGGAGGTGAATAATGCTCTACAGGACAAACAGACTAATCAGAAGGCATACTATGATCGTGCACTAACACCACTCCGGCCCTTTTATTCTGGAGACTTTGTTGTTGTAAGGACACCTGGTAAAAGTGTTCTAACTCCAGGTCGCGTACAGGCCCGAGCCCAAAAACCTCGTTCATATCTGGTCGAGCAGGAGGGGCGTGTTGTCAGGAGGAATCGACGAGATCTTGTCCTTACCAAAGGAACTGTCTTATTTGAGGACCCAAGTGACTCCCTGTGCAATCCAGTAAAGGACTGGACGCGCCACCTACCGTTAACGCGAATTCTATAGACAGTGACGATGTGACCTGTCATAGTGAAGTTGAATGTCCAACTACCAATAGCTCTAATGCTATTTCAGTCGCGAAATTCTGTCGTGTCAGTGGTAGAGCGATCAAACCGCCTCTCAGATTTGTAACAGAGTGACTGTTTAGTTCATTTTCTAGAAATGACTAGTACAAGTAGTTCTAGTTAAGTAAGGAACTGTTGGTGAATTCAGAAACTGTTTTATGAAACTATGCGGTGTATACTGTTAATTGTATTACGAAACAACAACAACGGAAATTTTGATCCAATAATCTTTAATTACCTTCATATATGCAAAAGTGGTTTAAAAAATGTACCTTGTCTTGGAAGGGAGATGAAATAGTATTAGGATTAAGTCTGACAGAATTGTCGCCCTTGTATACATGTGAGTTTGTGCATTATGGGTAATAAAGGAGAGTTCAAGCTGCCATCTTGTTGAATCAATGTATTGTTACAAGAGCTACCTTCCTCAACTTTTTGGTTTTTTTGACATAGTGAAACTACACTTATATGTAGATGTGCCTTGGGGCATAGGGTCGGGACCTTATAGGGGAAATAGAAGTAAAACCTTTAAAATCTATCTTCTACCGTAGGGATTAAGGGATTTTATCCATATTTGGTCTGGAGCATCCTTGGGCCAAGGGGACTCAATTGTTTATAAATGACGGATGTGGCCCGCCTCTGGGCAGAGGTGCGAGCCCATTAGGGGATTAAGGGATTTCATCCCAATTTGGACTGCAGCATCCTTGAGCAAAAGGGACTCAATTTTGTATAAACAGTGAGTGTGGCCCCCTGGGGGCTGAGGAGCGGGCCCAATAGGGGAAACATAGCAAATTCTTCAAAATCCTTCTTCTTCTGTAGGAATGACAGGATTTTGATTAAATTTTGGATGCAAACTTTGGTCAAGGGGATGTTTTTTGTATAAACGGTGGGTCTGACCCCCCCCTGGAGAAAGAGGGGCTGGGCCTAATAGGGTAAACGTAGCAAATTCTTCGAAATCCTCCTTTTATTTTAGGAATGACAATATTTTGTTCAATTGCATATAAATATAACCCCTGACTAACCATGTAATACATGTACACTTTCAGTAACATCATGCTATTCTAACTTCAATTTTGCTAACATTTCCAGGTGAGCGATACAGGCCCTCTTGGCCTCTTGTTTGTCACTTTGCACAATTAAACGACACCTTAGGTAGATATGCATGAAAAGAGGAGTTTTATCAATTGACTTTTTATCGTGTAGTTATGGCTCTTCAAACTTTAACTTTTTGCTCCAGAAACAAGTATACGGAAAAGCGGGGGTATTTTGTTTTGTGGGCTCGCTAACAGTTTTTCTGGGTAAAAAATAAACATTCATAATGTAATTTGAATTTAGAAGACTTAGTTATTTCCATTTTCACAACAAATGTTGGACAGACATTATTTACTCGCATTAGACGTTGTAGTCACCATCATGATCTCTTAGTTGTGCGCAAAAAGTATCGATACTTTGCTGATGTAGTTTAGTGACATGGTTTAGAATTGTCATAGACTTACAAAACTGCAGGTGTCGTCAGTGTAGAAAAAGACGTTAATTGTTGTTGAACATATGATACCATTTTACTAAGTGTAACTGTTTCCCCTATTGCTCACGTTTTGTCCTCCTCCTTCGAATTTGTGTTCGAATGTTAAAAACGTAAGTTTTGTTTATCCTCTCCGGATTGTTAATGTCCTTAATGCTCGGTATATATGATACTTTGATAATAAGGTGATCAACTTGACTAGATATGATAGTCAAATTTAATTTGTTTTGATGTCCTGGTGTTTTTCCCTTCTTGTTGGTGTCCCCTGGGTTATTTTCCCTTCGTGTTGGTGTCCCCTGGGTTATTTTTCCCTCGTGTTGGTGTTCCCTGGGTTATTTTCCCTTCGTGTTGGAGTCCTCTGGGTTATTTTCCCTTCGTGTTGGTGTTCCCTGGGTTATTTTCCCTTCGTGTTGGGGTCCCCTGGGTTATTTTCCCTTCGTGTTCGTGTCCCCTGGGTTATTTTCTCTTCGTGTTGGTGTTCCCTGGGTTATTTTCCCTTCATGTTGGAGTCCCCTGGGTTATTTTCCCTTCCTGTTGGTGTTCCATGGGTTATTTTCCCTGCGTGTTGGAGTCCCCTGGGTTATTTTCCCTTCCTGTTGGTGTTCCCTGGGTTATTTTCCCTTCGTGTTGGTGTCTCCTGGGTTATTTTCCCTTCGTGTTGGATTTCCATGGGTTATTTTCCCTTCGTGTTGGAGGCCCCTGGGTTATTTTCCCTTCGTGTTGGAGGCCCCTGGGTTATTTTCCCTTCGTGTTGTTGTTCCATGTGTTATTTTCCCTTCGTGTTGGAGTCCCATGGGTTATTTTCCCTTCGCGTTGGTGTTCCATGGGTTATTTTCCCTGCGTGTTGGAGTCCCCTGGGTTATTTTCCATTCGTGTTGGAGTCCCCTGGGATATTTTCCCTTCGTGTTGGAGACCCCTGGGTTATTTTCCCTTCGTATTGGAGTCCCCTGGGTTATTTTCCCTTCGGGTTGGATTCCCCTGGGTTATTTTCCCTTCGTGTTCGTGTCCCCTGGGTTATTTTCTCTTCGTGTTGGTGTTCCCTGGGTTATTTTCCCTTCATGTTGGAGTCCCCTGGGTTATTTTCCCTTCGTATTGGAGTCCCCTGGGTTATTTTCCCTTCCTGTTGGTGTTCCATGGGTTATTTTCCGTTCGTGTTGGAGTCCCCTGGGTTATTTTTCCCTCGTGTTGGAGTCCCCTGGATTATTTTTGCCGCTGTTCACGTCGAATCGGAGTTCTTACCTTCGTGTTGGTGTTCCATGGGTTATTTTCCCTTTGTGTTGGAGTCCCCTG